ACAACAAAGTGAGGGAGTGGTGGTATGAGTGTAACCCTTTGGTGGAATGGGAGGGGATGAAATTCCATAAGAAACTTCAATTTTTGAAAGCAAAAATCAAKGAGTGGAATYTGRTGGAGTTTGGGAGGATAGAAAAAAGAAAGGGAGATCTGTTGGATAAGAAGAAAGGGGAGAACTTGGAGAGGAAGACATTGATCTCAGGGGAGATTTAAGAAGACAGTTAGAGGACTGCCTGCACAAGGAGGAAATTAGCTGGAGGCAAAAATCTCGGTGTAAATGGGTGCAAGAGGGGGACAGAAACGCTAGGTTTTTCCACTGTCTAGCAGAAGGCAGGAGAAGGAAGAACCTGATTTCCAAATTGGTAGTAGATGGAGTTGAGTTAGTGCATCAAGAGGAGATTGTCGGGGCTTGTGTGGAGCACTTCAAATCTATCCTAAGAAGGCCAGTGTGTAGAAGGGTGTGGGTAGAAGGTTTGGATTGGCCAGATGTAGGGGTGGAGAACAGGAGAAGGTTGGAAATAAGCTTTAGTTTAGAAGAGATCAAAGAGGCTGTATTTTCTATGGATAGAACAAAAGCCCCAGGGCCGGATGGGTTCACAATGGCTTTTTATCAGGACTGTTGGGGCATTTTGAAAGATGATCTTTTGCAAGTTTTTAAGGAGTTTTACAGGAGATGAATTGTCAATCAGGGTGTGAACTCTACATTTATAGTCTTAATTCCTAAAAAGAAAGATGCTTCCCACCCGAAGGATTTTAAGCCAATTAGCTTGGTTAATAGCTTGTATAAGATCATTGCAAAAGTGTTGTCTTTGAGGYTGAMGAAGGTTTTGCCAGATATCATTGCACACTACCAAGGAGCTTTTGTGAATGGAAGACAAATTAYTGATCAGATTTTAATTGCTAATGAGAGTGTGGAGAACTTTAAGAGGGATAAGAAGAAGGGAGTGGATTGTAAGTTGGACTTGGAAAAGGCTTATGACTTAGTGGATTGGGAATTTTTTAGGAAAGTTTTGACTAAATTTGGGTTCGGGACTAGATGGTGTAAGTGGATCATGGGTTGTGTCCAGAATTGTCATTACTCAATGCTAGTGAATGAGACAGTGGTAGACTTCTTTCCAGCCAATAGGGGTATAAGACAAGGAGACCCCCTTTCTCCTTTCTTGTTCATTCTAATTGCGGAGGTTTTGGGGAAATTGATTCACAGAGAAAATTCTAGGGGGCTCATTAGAGGCTGGAAAGTTGGGAGTGCGGAAACCCCTCTTACTCACTTGCAGTTTGCTGACGACACGATTCTGTTTTGTGAAGGAGGTAATGTGAGCTTTATTAGGAATTTGAAATCGGTGATACAACTATTTGAGCAAATATCCAACTTGAAAGTTAACCTTGGGAAAAATTGTGTTGTGGGGGTGAATTTGGAGGAGGGAGAGATCAGGGAGAGTGCTGAAGTGTTGGGGTGTGAAGTCTCGGGATGGCCTTTGAACTACTTAGGGTTGCCTTTAGGGGATAATCCCATGAGAAAGAGCTTTTGGAACCCGGTGGTGGAAAGGTTCGAAAAAATATTGGTGTCATGGAAAAAGAACTACCTCTCTCTTGGTGGGAGAATTATTCTTATTAAGGCCACACTTGCTAATTTACCTATCTTTTTCCTATCGGTGTTTAAAATCCCAGTGAATGTTGCTAATAGATTGGAGAAGTTAATGAGAGATTTCCTGTGGGAACCGGGAGAGGAAAAGAGGGATCATAGAGTGAGCTGGAAGATAGTTTGTAGGAGTAAGACTTGTGGTGGTTTGGGGCTTGGGAATATTAGGAGAAGGAATATGACTTTGTTGGGAAAGTGGTTGTAGAGATTCCCCTTGGAGAATGAGAAGCTTTGGGCTAGAATAGTGGCAAGTATTCATGGGCTGGAGCATAATGGATGGGACACTGGAATTAGAGCTAGGACCACAAGCAATTCTCCTTGGAAATCCATTCATGCCCTGCTACCAGTTTTCTCCCCTAATATCAGGTATGATTTGAATTCCGRTAACTCCATAAAATTTTGGGAACAAACCTGGGTGGGGAGTGCCCCTCTAAATGATCAGTTTCCTTCTTTGTTTGCTCTTTCTGATTTGAAAAATGAGTCAATCTCATCTTTTACCAGCCCGTCCTCTTCCATTTCTGGGATTGGATGGAACTTGGGTCTAAGAAGGGATTTGAGGGACTCAGACTTTGACACTATTTTGAGCCTTATTGCAATTCTTGATAACGTTGTCTTAGACCCCACTAGGGCGGATTCTAGAATTTAGACATCTTCAAAGTCTTAGGTCAGTCCACCAGTCCTACCTTCCTTCATTTTCCTATTGATGAGGTTTGGTGCAGAGCAATACCTCCTAGGGTTGGTAGTTTTTGTTGGGAAATCTATCTGGAAAGAATCAACTCTGGTGATTTACTCCAAAAGAAGARACCCAATACTTGTTTGTCACCTTAGTAGTGTGTTCTTTGTAAAGCGGATGGGGAGACTGGTTTTCACCTACTGGTGTTTTTCCATTTTGCGAGATTAATTTGGGAATGGGCTTTGTCCCTTTTTGGTTGCAGTTGGCTTTGTCCCTTTTTGGTTGCAGTTGGAACCCCCCATCAGACTTGCAAGGCATTTTTTCCCCTTCTTTTTTCAGGTGGCGGATAAAAAGGGGAAAGACAATGTGGAGAGGACTAAGGGCTGCAGTGTGTTGGACACTTTGGGAAGAAAGAAACTCYAGGATATTCTCAGAAGCTCAGAGAGGAGCAGCAGATCTGAGGGCTATCATTCAAATTAGGACGATACAGTGGCTGAAATCTTTGGAGCTTTTCACAGATTACACTGTGGATGACTTGTTGAGGAAGTGGGGTGAAATTGCAAGTTGCACACAAACTAAGTCAGTAATGTGTGTGGCTTGGACCCCTCCACCTAGTGATTTCGTGAAACTAAACTTTGATGGGTGTAGCAAGGGAAATCTGGGACAATCAGGGATTGGGGGTGTTCTTAGGGATGAAAATTGGGTCATTTCTGCCATGTTCTCAGGCCCAATTGGAGTAGGTGACTCCCTTAGAGCTGAGATCTTTGCAGTTATGGAAAGAGTCCAAAAAGCTAAGGAGTTGGACATCAGGAAACTCTTAATTGAAGGGGATTCAGAGTTGGTGATAGGGTGGCTGCTTAAAGATCACAATGGTTTATGAAAGTACAATAATGAGAGGAGGAAATTCAAGTGACTGGTGCAGGAAATGGAAATTAAGATACGTTGGGTTAAAAGATCGACTAATTCCCTAACTGACGGTTTAACTAAACAAGGGGCAGAAAGGAACTCACTTTTTTGGGCCAAGCAGTAACTATAGTGTGTTTTCTTTCTTTCTTTCTTTTCTTTTTCTTTTTTTCCTTTTCTTGAGGTTCTTTGTTGCTCTTGGAAGATAAG